CAACCTCGCGTTCCGTTTTCCTTTCTTTTAACGCTACAAGAACTCTTACAATCACAACGGTCAACCTACAGAAGGTGATATAAAATATTATCACTTTCGAATCGTTTAATGCAAATATATTTTTAAAAAATGCAAAATATGGAGATTTTTACTCACCGTGGATGACATTATGCAAAACAACCAAAAGGCAAAAACAATATGGCGCATTGTAAAAACCGAACAATTTACGACACCTTCCGACGTTTTTCAAGAGTGCGCAGAAAAGATGCGCAAATGGTGACACTGCCCCTTTAAGTCAGCTAGAAAAAAGGACATGCAAATTGACATAAAAATACAAAACGCAGATGGTTCTTGTGTTCCTCTAGAAAGAAAAGATCATATAAAATATTTAGGGGTTATGATTGATGATACCATATCTTGGAAATACCATATCCCATATATTTGTTCTCGTGTATCTCGTGGTATTGGTATCTTCTAAAAGTTAAGACATTACTTATCAATTACTCAGCTCAAACAACTCTATTATAATATCATATACCCTCATATTTCTTACGCCATTACCGCTTGGGGAAGTACCTATAAGGTTAACTTAAAAAAGTTACAAACAAAGCAAAATCAAGTTATGAGGATTATGTTCTTTGCTACAACACACGGACCACTCACAAAGAGTGCTCTTCCATATTTAAATATGTTAGAAATTCTCAGTGTTGATAACCTTTATCGACTCAGTGCTTTAAAATGCACTCATCTATGGCACAAAGGCCAACTGCCACGCATATTTGACAGTTTATTTCAATATACTAGTGACGTACATACCTACAATACCAGATATTCATCTAAGCAAAACTTACACAAAAAACGTGTTAGAACAAACTATGGTAAACAAATGACTTCCTTTGCATTTATTGACCTCTGGAAAGAACTTCCCAAACAACTTAAACACCTAAATGTTTTTTGTTTTTCAAAATTGGTAAAAAAATATTTATTAAAAAAACAATTTGAGACAAATTAGAGCTATGTTAATTAATATGCGCTTTAATCTCATTTTATTTGGCTCTGTCAAACAAATTATCTTTCATCTCTAATTAAAATTTAAAATCAATAGGCTGGTAACTAACTAGAAAACCTCACGGTTAATTTAGTTACCAGGCCCAATACCCGTTAAACAGTGTGTTAACTATTTATATTTATTATTCTATTTATTATTTAAGAACTAATTTTTGATAATTTTTTTTTTTTTTTTCAAAAAGCGCAAAATATATTTATTATTATTATTATTATTATTGTAGTTGCCTCGTTAGCACAGAATAGGGATTCTATGCAGTCTTTAGGCAATTATAAATTATCTATAACCTACGGGTTTATATAATGTAATCCCCAGCTGGTCTATATATGTAAGGCAAATTCAAAAAAAGGTTGTCCTTTGCAAACCTTAAACTCTAAGTGCGCAAAGCTTAATGGGAGAACGAATTTCAAGCTTAGTAGTTGAATATTGTAGCTTTTGTGAATTAATTGTTCTCATAAGGAGATATTTACCATGTTTCTAAGAAATGGGCCGATATATGATTTCTAAACTGATTAAATAATGCTCCCATTATGCTTTGCACGCTTAGAGTTTAAAGTTTAAGGTTTACTTTGAAGTTTAAGGTTTGCAAAGGACAACCTTTTTTGAATTAGCTGTATAATCCCGGGATTATATATATATATATATATATATATATATATATATATATATATATATAGCTTAAGATTTTGGTTTACGAAACACAAACAGTGCTCAATACCATATAGATAGAGCGTAATATAGTTTTTCGTTTTAACTCAAAAAACCACAACAGTCTGTTTCATCCGTATAGGAATCATCAGACCACCTGATGATTCCTATACGGATGAAACAGACTGTTGTGGTTTTTTGAGTTAAAACGAAAAACTATATATATATATATATATATATATATATATATATATATATATATATATATATATATATATATATATATATATATATATATATATATGTAATCCCGCGTATTTGCCCTGAAGTTGGCAATTCGGGGTAAATACGCCAGTTAATTACGTACCGCGGTACTTCGTAAAACGAAGTAAATCGTGCTATAATAGCAATTTAAACCTACATCAAGTGCAACTAAAAACAACACTACTAACATGCAGATAAGCGCAGAATGAATTAAACGAAAGTAAATAATGAAAATTTCATGAGAAAATATAACCATTATGAAACTATTTTTTTATCCTCTACTATCAGCCCAAGAACTGTTTTCGTCTTGTAAAGAGACACTGGAAAATGACCAGTAAGTTGATCAATAATTGCACCATGGAGCTGGGAAAGCTTCAATTCCTATCTTAAAGGACATTGGCAATGAAAAATAGTTTAGTTCATTTGAAAGAACTCTTAAAATTTAAAACTCTATTACAGATTGTTTATATCTTGCCTATAGTTTTCAAAATATTTCGACTGAAAAAAGTCAATTGTTCGCCATCTTGGATTATTGAGGATATGCATGTACTTCAAGAGAGCGGTCACGCTATTTTTTATCTTGAGAGTAAGCGATCAATATGGCTCCAAAACTTGGTTTCTGGTTGCTGTCTGAAGTTTAGAAATGATTAAAAACATTTAAAACTATTTTGAATTGTTACTCGGTCATTTTAGGGTAGTCTTATATGGTTAACCTAACTCCCGACGTCATCAAAACCATAGTTAATGAGGTCAAGAATTACTCCAAGATGGCGGACAGCTTATTAATTTCGATCTAAATATTTCGAGAACTAAGCAAGATATGACAAATCGGAAATAGAGTTTAATAAAAATTATAAAATTTTAACAGTTTTTTTTAATAAGACAAATTATTTTTTATTGCCAATATCCTTTATACCAAATTTGTGTATCCAATATTGTATTATTATGTGACAATGATTAACCACTTAGAGCGGTGGAAGACTCTCTAGGCAAACCATTTCCTATTTACTCTTTGACGAAGAACAATAGCAGTTTCAACAACGTGTTTGATAACTTGAATGAAAATCTTCATCATCTTTTAATTTAATCTACAGTACTTGAAAATTATGGCGATATGTGCAGATTTGATCATTCCTTCTGCACTTCATTTCCTGCCTTGAAGCATTCCAAGTATTTTCATAGAAACTTGCACCTCTCTGCCTTTAGGAAGTAAGCCAGATATATAGAAGATATATTTGTGGACCTCTATCTCTCAATTAAATTATCCTCAAATGTTACAGGAAGAAACTGAAATACCTTGAAAAATGAAAATACACTGCAGTAGTAGACAGAATTGATTTTAACGTATGCTACTGGGACATAAAGACGTGTCTTGCTTCGCGTCAAAACATTTAGAAATGTGACTACATTCCTAGGCCTTTTTTACTGCTATAATTGTCGAACTATTTATTCAAATTTCAGCACAATTTCCCGCAGGCCAATGGGATGTCGTCATTTTCAAATTTTCGATTTCACGACGTTAAGGTGGCTCCCTACAGTTATAGTACAGTTTAAAACATATTTATATATAGATCAGACGACATCCTTCAAAACAATTATTCGCCTGAGGTTCAGTGATTGCCCTGAATATCTACCTCAACTTCGCCTCGGTGAATATTCATGGCTAACCTTACGCACAACCTGCCTTGTAAACCTCCCTTCTAATTTTAATATCTTATTACCTCGGGTCGGTACGACACCGAGGTCTTAAATTCGGCTCCTATTTTTTTTCTTGTTTTTTTTTGTGTCGAGCCGCGCGCGTAGTCGAAGATCGAAGGGCCTGCGGAGGAGAGGACAACTTCCGGTAAATAAGTGTACTTCCGGCAAGCATCGGCCAAAGCGAAACGGAACCCGAAGCTGTCCTTGCACAAAATCCGTCAGAATTGTTGATTTAAAACCAGAAGATGTGATAATTTTGACATACATGTTTAGCTGGACAACTATTCTCGAGTATATGTTGATATAATGTACAATACGTCGTTAATATAGCATGGGAATACCGCGGCCAACTTTCACTTGTTATCTATTATAATTACTGACCCGAATCAAAAGTAATTATTTTCGGCTGGAAGACTACTGTACGTTGCTGCTTGTCGGGACCGTATGACAATGAACCTATCCAACGTTACACTAGACATTTGTGAGGACATGCATATAGACATAACCATAGGCACTGTAGTGCATTGTGATAGAACAGATTTCAGTTTAATTAATCGCCCTAAATTAAAATCTCCACAAGCGGAGGTCAATTATAGTGTTCTAGTTTACATATTATCCAGCCTAGTGCCAATCGTTCTGAAGCAAGCGCGAGAAAAAACGTGGATGTAGTACGAGACTGGGATCAAGGTGTGACGTCACCGCAAAAGGTGCTTCAGAACGCCTAGCAGATTTCAGTATTTTTAATATGGCGGAAAATTTATTTATGTAAATAAGTTTGTAAATACGACAATGTTCGTTGATCATGTTTGATGTCTACATAACCAAATTCAAACTGTTTTAAAAATGTGATCAATTAAAAAAATTATATACAAATTTACGATACTCAGTCTGAGCAATGGTCGTATAATCGTTGATGTTATTCATATACTCGCAAGTTGTGATCAACACTAGACCATACTGGCGTGATACTGGTATACACAACTACGCGTTCTAATCTTTCTACTTGACAGGTTTAAGTAGCTGAGGAGATTGGAAATATTCGCCTGACATGACTGTGTTGTCAAAACATTTTTGGTCGGAGACTCGGCATAATTTTCAAGCTTCTAGATAGCATTTAATATGGCTTTATATTTTTAATTAGTAAACACGAGTCATATTTAGCCCGTTATTCCATTCTGACTCATGTATGGTAGCGAAACGTAGCCTATTTTATTGTTCCGACAGCATAGAGCAAAACTAATGACTTGATTATAAACACAAATTGAAATTTCCATAACATTTTCTATTTACAAATGCGATATGCTTGGTAACCAGGTCAGGGACCACTTTTTTGAAATCAGGGACCATTTTACCGAAATCTGCTAGGCTCTCTCGCTGAAGCGTTCCGCACAGCACACCCAGGCATAAAACTTTTAAGACTTACTTAAATATATCAAAGCAGCGAATAGAGAGAGAGAGAGCCTGGGACTAGGCTGCATATTATCATTAATGATAAGGTTTACTCAAATAGCGTATTGGATAAACACGGGAATAGAACTTATGGTGTATTCTGCACATGCGTATATCTAGGATAAAATCCCACAAGCGCAAACGAAACTATTTCTCTATAAAATTGAACTGAAAAGACTCACAGCGACCGTTTCCAACAGTGCTTCAGGCACCTAGCCTGCGTGCAGCGCAGGCTACAGGCACCCGACGACACCGTATGGGGGCCTTTAGCACTGTCACCTTCTCATCTTGGGATGTTCACATTATCGCGT